TTTTGGAGCGTGTGTGGGATGATAGCAGAGAACCTGCACTTTTTGTTGGTAGGCTAAAGCTACCCTCCCTGAATCTGTATTATTCTGATAAAATCAGAACTTAAGCTTCTAGAAACACTGATTTTTATCTTTCTTTTTTGGTGTTTTCTGGGAGCAGACAGTGGGTTATGCTGCTTAATTGCCTGTGTCATGCTAATGCTGTCACACCCTGATTTTTAAAGGGGTTCCCTTGTGCTAGACATTAAAGTGATACGAGAGAAACCAAGTTTGTCTGTTCTCAGCCGGAAGGTGCTAGTTCAAGGGTCTTGTGTGCCTTGATGTGCAGAGGTATGATCTGTGCTTCACCAGAGGTCTCGTCAGTGAGACTAATTTAGGGAGGAGACAGTACAGTTCTGCTCCCATTTTTGCCTCTTAACTCGCAATATGTGAACGTCTGAGGTCTGCTTGATGTACCCATCCGCTGGAAACTGCGTTGCAGCTGTTTTAAAACCCTGGTGCTGCTCTGCAGAGAATCTCAGAGAACTGGGGTTTGCTCTTCCTACAGCCTGCCTGCCTTCAGGAGCCTCTGGTGGATCTGTAAACCACTTCCTGAATGGGTTATTAGAATCCTAGAATCATTAAGGTTGGAAAAGCCCTCCAAGATCACCTGGTCCAACCATCCCCCTACCACCAATGTCACCACCAAACCCTGTCCCCAAGCACCACGTCCAACCTCTCCTTGAACACCCCCAGGGACGGGGACGCCCCCACCTCCCTGGGCAACCCGTCCCAAGGCCTGACCGCTCTTGCTGAGCAGAAATGTCTCCTCATTTCCAACCTGAGCCTCCCTTGGCACAACTTGATGCCATTCCCACTGGTCCTAAAGAATATCCTGTTCTCTGGGTACCTGGACAATGATCAAGCCAGGGTACACCCTGTTTAACTTCGGGTATTTAAGATGATGTGAGGTATGACTGATGTTATTGCAGTGGTTGGGTTTTTTTAGGGTCTCTCTTCCATGCAATATGTGATCTCTGTTATCTAACACACCCGAACATTTCTCTAGGTGGAGATCACGGTGTTTTCTGCTCAACCATCAACTTCCAAAAAGTTGGGAGAAGCTGAAATGTTGAAGCCACAGGGATGAAATTTGATTGAAACCATTCATACAGTAAAATAATACTGGAGGAGGTGAAAAGAAAGGGGAGTGGTGTGGAAATGAACAGCTGCAAAAACACATTATCGTGCACATTTGGATTTGTAAATCATGATAACATTTAGCTAGTGTTCTGTCTTTGTCCATGTAAGGCAGAAGTTGCCTGAAAGGCTGCTCAGGATGCCCTGGCTGGGGACTAATAGCTGTGTCATGATGTGTGCTGGTTGATGTCATCCTTGCAGTCGCTGCTTGATATTTTCAGCTGGTTAACTTCCTGTGGTCTGTCTCTTCCAGGATCATGGCTACGTGCACATCCATACCCCCATAATCACATCGAATGACTGCGAAGGTGCTGGGGAACTCTTTCAGATTGAGGTAGGTTGGGTTGGGTAGAGTTCGTTGTGATTTTTGCTTGCAGAGCAGTTCTGGAGTCATTGAAGGTCGGAGGAAATGTTTGTCTTTATAAAAGCTTCCCTTTATGTACAGCTGTGATTAGTTTTTTAATATAGCAGTCAGTTTGCCTTAACTAATAATTGAGGAGGAGTAAAAGAGATGCGTTCCTTTAAGTCCTGTTCAGTGCATTAATCAGCACCTTTTGTACTGCCGAGGTTTTTCTCTCCCTGGTGCTGTGGAAAGGCTCACAAAGAGCAGCAGAGGAAGGTGGAACATCTGAGTAAGCAAAAGGACGCGATCCTAAGAGCCCAAGAGATGGGATGGGACATTCAGGACAGCCTACCAGAAACAAATACTTCTTAGCTCTGAAATTAAGAATACATTCACTTGGGTTCTTCTTTGCAACCATTAGAACTCCTTAAAAGAAAGTCAGCGGTATCTAAAACCGTTTTCAGACGTGTATATATTCCTCCCTGCAAGCTACTCCTGTTGCATGTTGGAATTCATGGCTGAAATTGCCGTGTCTCCCAGTTCTGCCAAGTCTCCCCGTCTGACCACCAAGCTACTGCCACAATCTGTCATTTTCTTAAGTAGTTGACACCCTGGGTCAAAACCGCCTGTGAAGCTTAATTGCGACTGTAACCACGAAGCTCTTCCCTGCAGATTTCTCGTGATTCCGAGCCCCCACATCCATGAATCATAGGAAATTCCATCTGCTTTCCCTATTTCTATATTTGAAACGTACTCTTCTGTCTCGAACAATTACATCCATTGCCACTTTTAACGCTCGGCGGCTCCAGCCTTGCTGGTGAATCATCTGTAAGCAACAGAAAAACTGTTGAGGTAGCAGTTGCTTGCTGCAGGGTCATGTCTTGCACTTTCTCTGCTGCTTCGTGACAAAAAGCCTCTCTGTACTTGTTCTTCAGGATCTCGCTGCCTAACCTGTGCTAGCAGAGATTCCCTTCCAGACCAGTCCAGAGCAATACATGTGGCTCAGCTTTCTGCTCGCTGTGACAATAGAGTTGATTAGCTAAACTAAATTGTTCCTGTTTAATTGAGATCCCTTGATGCACCAAAGGTTCGCTCCAGGCTGTTGCATGCAAATGAAGACGTGAAAACAAGCGACACTTGATGATGAGAACATTATCCAGTTTGCAGCTGTACCGTGCGTTACGTCTTTGGTACAAATTGTATCCACTTGAAAGCTGTAAAGGATGCAGGACTGCAGCGTAGGTGGCTGGTAGCAGCAGAAGCACTGATGCAAATGGAGATTGAGGTGGTAAAGTGCGGATCTGAAACTTGTCTAAGCTGGATCTTAATGCAGAGTTCAAGGCAAATCTCCTAGGCTCGCTCCAGTGTGATTGCTTAGGTGGAAAATAATACCTGTCTTGGGGAGACTTGGTGACAGCCAGGCTTGGGAGGTGTGGAACGAGTGCTGAGTCCCATTGAAAGTGAGTGCAAGTATCTCACTGAAAGCTCTGTGCCACAGACAAGGGGCTTCAGGAGATCTTTTCCTTGATTTCTCATTTCTTCTCTGCTCACTGCTTCGTCAGCTGCCCTAATTTAGTGAGGGTGTGGTTTTCTTTTCTTAAAGCTCTGCTTAGAAGTGGTCTTGGCTAGCAGAGATCCAAGACCACCTCACGCAGTGAGAGAGTTTCTTGGCCATGAAAATCTGGGGGAGATGAATCCTTCTGTGGATGTGGATCCGTGAGATGGACAACAGTGAGGGTGACAGCATTCCTGTGGTGCTCACATCAAAGCCCAGAGCCTCTGTGTGCTTCTAATCAAACCAGACATCAACATGTTCCCTCTCTGCTCTATGCAGTCACCATAGCCCTTAATGCACTGCTGGCAAATGGTAAGGGAGAGAATAAATTCCTCTTGCTCCTGCAGTTAAGCAGGAAACAAGAACTGTGGGGATGGGAATCAGTGAGAGCAACCTGCAAATGAAATCCTGCATTTTAAAAAAGAAGTAGGTAAATTCTGGACGTAAGCTTTTAACGCAGATCCTCAGCTGATGTCCTATGGCTCCTGAATTTGTAGTTAAAATGTGCCTGCTGCTTGCAGCCTGCACGCAGACAGGGCTGGTTTTTCTGCATTTTTTGTTTTAAATTCCATCGGGCAGTGTCGAAAACGGATGGTCTCACCAGTTTAGCTGTGCTGGCGTGGGTGGAATAAGTTGCAAGGTCTGGTTGAGTAGCCTTTAAGGCCACAGAAGACTTTTGCATCCACTGTAAATGAGTACGTTTAATGGCCATCTTCTCCTCCCTGCCAATTTTAATCCTCTACCCGACGTCTGGTGGCTGTGCAGGCTTAGACATTCTTTAGAGATGGTGGAAAGTGAGGAGAGGAAGAATCTGTTTTCACATGAGACTTGAAGAGATGGGAAAGCAGTATCCTGAGTTAGAAGGGAAAGGCTTTGTGAAGGCGTGTGATCTTTAATTCCTAGACCTCCTAATCCTGGAGGATTTGTGTTTGTTTATAGATTTGGCTTCCTCATTATCTTTGTTTGGTTTTGAGTGCACTGATTAGTCTGTGCATAGTTTGGGTTGTGATGTTCTCAGAGTAGGGCTTGGGATGGGGGGGAATCACTTTTCCTGTCTGGTGGGCAAATCAATTTAAGAAAATATTTTAAAAATGTAGCACTGGAACAACGAGAAGAGGGTAGTACGCAGACCACATCAAGTATCAAATAAATAAATCACAAGATGTTGCAAACTTCAAAGAAATCCTTTGTATTGGAGATTTTTCTACAGCTTTTCAAAAAGAAAGTGTGAGGAGAAACTGTGTAAAAACAGCCAGGCAAACCCTAACCTGCTTGAGAACATCAGTGGCACCAACGTGGAGATCTCTGCACCTTTTAATAACATCTTCATTGGGTGGAAGCCTCTCGCTTGTGCTGCCTTCTTTAAAATAAATTGACTGAAAAGGCCAGAAGTGCTTTGAATATTGTAATCTGGGTTTTAGCAGAATGCAAAGGAGGGCAAGGTAACCCGTGAAATCGGGAGGACTCAGACCAGCGGGGTGAAATAGGTTTATTTTATTTTTAATCCGAGAATAATTCCTCTGTGCCAGCTCTCTGAGGACCTCAAGGCGGATCCTTTCCTCAGATTTTCCTTCTGTTTAAGTCTAAAATCCGTAGAAGATTTTGTATATTGAAAGAATCTTTACCCAGCCTCCTTCTGGGGCTGCTCCTTACGAAATCTGCCTGCCTTTTGTCTTTGCAACCCGGCTGCGTGGCTGTTCCTGGCTATTTTCAGCAGCCTCCCACTCTGTCTGCAAACTCCCTGTGTTCTGGGTCTCTTTCCCTTGTCTTTCCCACTTGGCTCCCTGGACAGCTGCCTTGCTTGACTGTCCTCAGCTGCTGTGGGGAAGGTGCAGGTATTATTCTTCTCTAAAATGTGTCCAGAGATGATGCAAGGTGGGTTTTTTTTGTTTTGTTTTTTTTGCTGTTTTGCTGTTTTGCCACCAATACAGGAAGGAACGTTTCTAGATCCCTGAGGAGCTCAAGTTCATGGCTGCACCTCCTGCGGAACCCGAAATGTGTGCCTGCTGCTGAAGGTGCAGCAACTTACTCCTATTTTTCATTCAGTCCCTCCTGAAAAAGAACCTTGTCAGCACCAAGGAAGGCTGGGATCTGCTGGGGAGAATCCGGGTGAAATGCACCCAGGATCAGTGTCCCTCAGGTGGTTCCCCATGAGAGATGTGTCACAGGCTGGGAGGCAGCCAGTACCTGGGACTTCAAGGGAGCTGCTCAGCAGGGTCGGAGGAAGCTGGAACTGAGCCGAGGGAGGGCTTGCTCTCATCTTTCCTGGCTCTCCCACTTTCTGCTGCTATTTTTCCTACCTGGTTCATTTATATAGTCCTGTTAACGAGGTGTTTCTCTCAGCAGAACCAGCTGCCGTTGCCCAGCTGGAGTCCGGCTGATCAGAATCAGGGCTGAAATTGCAAGGAGGACTTTTGGCAAGATGGAAAATCGTGCAGATTGTCTAAAAAAGGAAACCCACTCATGTTTATAATGGGACATGGCAGTGTAGGTCTGGATTAAAGCCCTGCTACCGTAAAGCTTCAGCAGCGTGGCATTGTGGGGCTGGTCTGGAGCTAAAGCAGCGATTTCTGTGAGCCTTCCAAGTCTTCCCTGAGCCCTTCGTGCATTTGGCTTGCATGGAGGGAAAGACAGAATCAAACGGTTCGTGCTTTCCTCAAGCTAATTGCCTCGAGTAGAAGTTAATACAAAACTGACATCAAAGTGAATGGCTTTTAAATTAAATCATTAGACATCGGAGAAGGAAAACAAAACAGGTACTAAATCCAGTTGTTCTCGTATTTAGAATGAGAATAAAAAGCCTTTGATGTCAGTGTCAAATCCCAGTACATTTATAGGGCATTTACGCAGAAACACCGAGGTGTTGTTTCATCTGGGTTGCCCCTCCCTCTCTCCCCATTGCACGCAGAGGAGTTTTCAACGAGGAAACGGAGAGAACTTGAAAGCAAACGCATTATTTCCCCCCCTGTCTTTTATCAAGGAGGTATCCTTGGGTTGGGAAGTGGCAGGCAAGGTCTGGTGCTTGAATGTACAGAGTGGAGGAACCCCTTCCAGCAAGTTAGTCAGTGTGAAATGGGAAGCTGCTAATTATGGGATGTCCTCCTTGCTGACGGTGGCTCTGAAGGGAAGATGCCTCCCTTCTCCTGCGTGGCGAGTGCACTGATTCTCGTTTTCTTTTTCCAGCTCCTAATACCCACTCATCAAGCTTTGTGCTTCAAAATGAAGGGAAGAGGCAGTGACTGGAAAGCTGAAGGGGAGTAAAACTTTTATTTAGGCTGCTACGTTCACTCTTCCACTTGTGTTGGGAGCAGTCCAGGAGCTGCCTGCAGCGCACACTCACATCCCAGGACCTGGGTGGCCTAGCAAACTGCCTGCAGCTTTTTCTAAGCCCTGTAGTCTCTCCGTTTTCCTACTTAATGTTGTGTCTATTCTTCCCGTGCCTCACCGAGATTACATCTGATACGGAGAATGAAAAATGACACAAAAAGCATCGTAAATAAACCGGGCCCCAGCTCGTGGAGACAGCTGTATCCTGTTTGTGGCTCCGGGGGAAGCGCTGAGATTTCATGGCTGTCATCTTCTGTTCTCTTCCTGCCTCCAGCCCGTCTCTTTCTCGTTGTTTAGAAGTCGCATCCTACAGGATTAGGTGGGATTTTTCGCCGGTGGGATGAGGAACGTGGCTGAACTGAAATTCCAGGAGGAGAAGCTGGGGTGGTGCGTGGCTCTGCTCTCTAGCGCTCTGGCCGTGGCTCTGGGACTGTGGGATGTGGATGTTTGGATGTTTATTAATATCCGTATTGTTTTTGAACAAATACCTTGGCTTTGTTTGAAGAAAACAATAGGGGCCTGCTTCTGCATCCTTGTTTTCTTTTTTTTTTTTTATTTAGAACTGCAAAATCTCTGAAACAAAGGAAACCGTCCTGGGGTTCCAGCCGCAAATTGTCCTCTTTCCATTGATCTCTGCGAGCAAGGCAGGCTCGCTCTTTTCTTCAGGGTGATGCTGCGAAGAGATAAAACTGCCTTGTGATCTGAGCTCTTTGACAGTCTCCGTTTCATCCCTGTGATGAGCAGCGAAGCTTTTTAAGAACAAAAAGCAACACCTTCCATCTCATTGAGTAAAATGGCAGGTTGCGGAATATCAAAGGCTGGCAAACAAGCCTGAGCCTCACAACCTCCCCATGACAAAGCAAGCTGAGGAGCAGGGTGGCTAGAGGCAGTGACATGCCTAGCTGAGCTGGCTGTGCTCAGCATAACTCCTAGGAACTAGGCTGTGAAAAGTGGGTATTGCAAATTTGTCTCAGAAGGACGTACTCATTTTGAAGCAAATGTTGATCAGCAAAACCGCAGAGTAGCTTCAGAGTTCCTTTCTCTGGACCTTTGACTCCTCCAAAGCTTAGGGATGCCAATGGGATATAGAAAATGCTGAAACAAATTCTCATTTATCTTCACTTTTAAAAAACAAATAAAATTTGTTGATAAAATTTAGAGATTATCTCATACAACTGCAGCTCAAGCAGGGTCAGCTAGAGCAAGCTGCCCAGGACTGTGTCCAGTTGAGTTTTGAGCATCTCCACAGATGGAGGCTCTGGGCAGCCTATTCTACTGTTCGATCACCTTCATTGTGGTGGTAGTTTTGTGTTTTGTTTTGTTTTTTTTTAAGTTTATTTTTGTCTTCAGATGGAATTTCACAGTGTGGTCGTCTTCTTTGTTGTAATCTGTGCCCATTGCCTTGTCTTTTGGGCACCACTGAAAAGAACGTGGCTTCATCTTCTTTGCACCTTCTCTTCAGGTATTTGATCCCCCTGAGCCTCCTCTCCAGGCTGAACACTCCCACATCTCTTTCCCCTCATTTGAAAGATGCTCCAGCTTCTTTTTCATCTTTGTGGCCCTTTGCTGGACTCACTTGGCCAGTGTCCTTGTATTTCTGGTATCAAGCACAGCACCTTGCGCTCCAGGTTTGTCACCAGTGATGAGCAGAGAGGAGAAGTCACCTTCCTGAACGTGGTTGCAGTGCAGGAGGCTGGTGGCTTGCTTTGCTTTGAGGGTTCATTGCTGTCTTTTGGTCAGCTCAGTGTCCACCAGGGAAACAGAGAAGCACCATTCTTAAATGACTTTCAAAAGGCTCATCACAGAGGCCTTTTAATTCCTCTTTCATGCCTGTAAATTAAAACCCCTAAATACACCATCATTCAATGGGATTGTTTTCAGACCTCTTTCATAATCAAATACTGAGCTTGCTAAAGCTTCCATTCCAGGTATTTTTTTATGCTTAAAACATGTGATGACCTGAAATGTTATGCAGAAGCCGAAACTAAACGTTGTTTTTCAGTGCATATGCAATGTGTAAGTTGTGATATCTCTGTCTCCATATTGTTTGAGTTCTGCCTTTTTGAAGACGGAAAAACAAGTCTTAAGAAGATATTCCATTGCTTTTTTTCTCCTGATTACTGTTGTTCTTTGGTGTTTTGCTTTGGTTGTTTTTCCCAGTGGAAACAAATTCACTTGATTTTGAAGAGGAAAGCTCAACACAAGCCAGCCCCATGCGCTGGCAGCCCTGAAAACTAAGCATGCCCTGGGCTGCAGCAGCGTGGCAGCAGGGCGAGGGAGGGGATTGTCCCCTGCTTTCTCATTTCTCTGTTGAATTTTGAAGGCAATGTTGTGTGAAGCTTTGAACTTCGAGATGGTAGAGATCCTTCCCTTCTCAGTCTCCAGTAATCTTGGTAGGGAAGAGTGAAAAATCCGTACTTAGATTTGGAGACTTGGGCTGCTATGCTGCCTTCTTTCTTTTGTATGTTGCTGAGTAAATTATTCTTCAACAGATGTTCCAGTGGGATTTTCGTTTTGTGTGGTTTTATTTCCTAGAAATGAGGGATGTGACTTCTCCACCTGCTTGCAGATTTCTGGATAGGCAGGGCCTTCAGCTGTATATTTTATCCTGCACGGGAGCCAGGACTCAAGAAAATCTGGGCTTCCACCACCTTTGTTGTCGGACTGGCTTGTTAAATGATGAATAAGTCCTTCTTGACACTTTAGTTTACATCTTAGTGTCTCCTTCCTTTCTACAATGCCACTTCTGTTTCAGCTCAGCCATGTTTAAACACACAAATTATATTTATTTATTTATTTACTTGGAGCAAAATTCAGGGCTCCTGACAAAATTCTACATCCAAAGGCCAGAGGTGAGCAGGGAAGAGCTGTTCTTTTAGCTGTGCACAAACTCACTGCCCTTCAAAATTTGGGGACAGATGACTGAACCCTATGAAAGCTTTGTCATCCTAACAAGTTACTTCCCCAGCAGCTGAACTGATACAATTGTTGGACATCTGATTTACAATCCCTGTTAGTTTGAGGGATGTCTGAAAGCACTGGGTGCTCTTCTCAGTGCTGACACATCCAAATTTTCTTGGTGAGAGCCGTGCTGCAGCTCACACTTGTTCTGTAAGTTGTTGTGATACCTACAGCCCACATCCTCCTCCATAAATCACTGAAAGAGGAGGTGGGAACTGTGGTGTTTCCCCTTAGGGTGTGGCTTTTCACTACATAGCCACATTAAGTGATTGAAACCCCTAAAAAGAGAAGTCGTCAGGGGTGTTTTATCCCATACGTTATTTTTGTTTTAGTGTGCTTTGCCTGAATTGGTTTTCAAGGCTGTTAGTTGTCTGAGCAGAGATGGGAAACGTGTTAGGACAACTTAGCACAGTGTTGGGTTCCATCTCAGGAGTGTTCAGGTTGACTCTGATACCATTTCTTAGGAGAAAAAAGGGAGTAAGCTGGGAGCTGGGATCTTTACTCAAGCACCTGGAGTCTAATTTGTGCGTTTTTGATTTGCAGACATCAAATGAAACGCAGAAATCTGCGGAAAAGAACCATTTCTTCAACGTGCCTGCCTTCCTGACGGTTTCTGGCCAGCTCCATTTGGAAGTGATGGCAGGGTGAGTGAAACACCAAGTTTTTGGGTTGATCTGTGAGTTTTCACTTGCCAATTTTGCCCCGTTGGTACCCAGCAGGTACCTGCCACGTGTGCCAGAAACCAAGTGAGCAACAGTGGCTGAATGATGGTGTGAGAGGCCAGCCTAGGAGGGTGGAAGCAGGGCTCCTGTTGAATTCTGGTTCAAACTTCCTTCCTCTGTCTCCTTCAGTCTTCCAGTTGTGTTTCTTCCCTCTGCCCATTCTGATTTCTTCCATTTCGTGGCTTTCACACTAGATGCTTGTTCAATCTAGCCACCAAAGTGATCATAGTTGAACAGGTAATACTGACTTTAATAAAAAATTATCCTTAAGCTTTTAATGTTAATGTTTCACCGAGATTGATAGTGGTGAAAGTGTCACAGCCTGTCAGAGCCACATTTCCCTTTGATTAGTGGGTTTGATCCTCACCTACACTGAATGTTCACAATAAATTAACTAAGTTGGCACATCAAACAGATGTAATGACATCAAAACAACCTGTTATTGGGAGGCACAATGTTCTGGGCCCTAAGGATGTGGGTTATCCTCAGATGTCGTACCAAATTCAGCTGTCTGCCAGCTGCATTGCTGGTAAAGCCTATCAGAGATCAGGCGGGACTGTGCCAGGAGGATTCATTGTGCACTGACAGAGAGGAAAGATCTCCTTCGAAACTGATCAGTTATTGCTCAGTGTGAATCTCCTGCAAAAGAGAGGAATAAAGCTTTAGAAAAGGTGGTTAGAAGTTGGAAGACCCTCCCCTTTTCATGCAGACTCTAATGAATGTTTCTAGGAGTCGGAAGTTGCTGCCCGTGCCTTGCGCCCAGTGCTGAAAACCAAATAATAAACACTTAGTTCTTTTCTGCTCAATCCCTGTTGCAGAGTTTAGCTGGCTGCTGGTAAGTAGCTGCAGGGAAGCTGTTCAAGGGGCAAGTTTTGTACACAGATCAAAAAAAAAAATAGGAATTTGTTCAGAAAGCTGTTTTCTGCCTGGCTTATTCTGTCTGTGAGAAAGCATCCCTTCTCAGGCTACCTAGATGGGGTCTGCTGAAACACTCAGCCTGGAGGTTCTCCATGGACAGGATGTTTTTTGTGTGGTGCCCCAGCAGCTGCGAGAGAAGCACGGGTCACTTGGCAGCCACAGGCTGCTGCGTCATCTCGGCCATTATCTGAAGCAAGATAATGAGGACGAGGTTTGTTTAGCTGCAGAGGTGGCAGAGTTTTTCGCATCCCTGAGCGAAGACGGGGTGACATCCGTCTGCGTGCGGGAGGCTTAATTGACTTTCATGCCTCGTGACCTTTATTGGAAGACGTAATTCAACAAATCAAATAAGCCAAAGAAAAAGTATGGATCGTAATGATCCGCTTGAAATACAGCCCCGCTGCCTTACATCACTCTGCTCCCTTTAAATAGTACACAGCCTGCTCGGGGACGGAGCAGAAGGCTGACCTGGGCAGACTCAGGATCTGTCTGCTACGTGTTTTTTCCATCACTGTCACTCGGGTGCACCTTGCTCTGTCAAAAAATCAACGCTCTTCTGAACGCAGGACATTGTATTGCAGCTTTGTGTTCCTGTTTTACAGTAGCATGTTGTTCTTGCAGGTGTTTTGAGTGGATCCAGTGCCGTCTAAATTTAGATAAGCTGTGTTTACTGGGGGTGTAACCGTTCTGCGAACCTGCTCCTTTCATTTTTATTTGAGCACGGTGAGTTTTTGAGGCCTGGAACTCAAGTGCTATTGAATCCCTTCAGCCATCAGAAATAGCTCGGGCTCTTCTCAGCACACAAGCACATGTGAGGCATCGCAGCGGAGGGGAGGCATTAACCACCTAGGTGCTGTGAGACCCTTCAGATCCTGCCACGTTTTTATTTCTGGTGCAAGTTTTTTATTTCTGGTTTATTTCCAGCAAGTTGGGTGTTAGTCTCTGAGTAGGACTCCTTAGGTGAAGAAGTAATTGAAGTTCATTGTAGTATAGTAATGAAATGTTCTGGTGATTCATTCAAAGCAGTAAAAAGCAGGAGTCGTTTTCCCAAAAGCTGAAATATTCTGGCCTTCCCGATAAACAAAGCAGTTAAAACAGTAAAGAACTTGTGTGCTTTGGGTTTAATCCAATGAAATTGACCCTTTCTCTCACTTCTTTAACCAAACTGAATTTTTCATACCCAGAAAAGGAGCTGTTCTTCCACAGTTCCCTTTGGGGAAGCTCTGCCTTGCTGCAGTCCTACAGCTTTCAGGAACATCTGGTCCCTGGGAGCCTGAGGGAGGAGCCCGAGGTTGGAATGTTTGGGAGCCCTGACTTGCTGTGGGAGGTGAGGGTGCGGGGACAGACCCTGCCAGAAGCCATTAAAAACCAGGAGTGGTGTGAGGGGAGAGAGGAATTTTTCCATGGCACTTTTAGGACGTGGTGCTGCGTACCCGGTGTCCAGAGCTCTGGGCTCTGTTTCTGCTGACAAGCAAAGCAGTGAGCTATTAGGCCTTATGAATTTTGAACTGTTTTCTCCAAAAATAAATGAGAAAAGGGGAGTTCCTGCGTTGACTGTCTGCTGTGCTTGTTCTTGAAGGCAAGGTCAGAGAAGTTTGTCTCGTCTCTCGGCGTGACACGAGCGGCCCACTTGGCACAATTTCTCCTCTCATCCACGCTGACGGCATCCAGGTCGGCCACTCGGCATCTGAACAAGCCAGCTACTGTAAATCTGTAGGCTGCTGGAGGTCTCCAGAAAAGTCTTTTATTCAGTACCACAGCTCTCAGCTTCGGGCTTTTGAATCTTCAATGAGTCAGTGAGCGCTCTGTGGGGCAGAGGTTTGTAGGGCTGCGTGTGTGTGTCCCAATAACCAGTTTGAAATGTCACGGGCTCGCTGCGAAGCCGCTGGTCCTCGTGGTATTTTCTTGACCTGTGATCCTGGTGTAAGGGTAAAGGCTCCTTTGGGGCCCCGAAGCAGCCTGGAGGGGCTGTGACAGCTGATGATTCAGAGGCACCAAAACCAATCGCTGCCAAGAAGTACAGCTCACTGGGCCTATTTACTCATTTATTTCTCCTTTCACCCGCCTGACCTTCCCACAGGACCTACCTGCTCCTCTCCTTTCAGCCCGTGTTCCTTCAGCTGACATTTTGCACTGATTTTCCTGGCCCTTCATCCTGGGCACTGCTTGTTCTGCCTGATGCATCGTGAATTTAACAGAAACTGCTTCCTAAAAGCTTTGGGGACTCTCTCCTCCCTCCCTAAATCTCACAATAAGTTTTCTCCTTCCTCATCCTCCCTAGCTCTGTTTCTACTCCCGTTGGTCCCTCAGTAGGTTTCTCATCTCTTCTTCATCTTATTCTTTTCAAATTCCCTTTAAATGGGCAAAAGGCTCAGGGGGAACCTAATAGCAGCCTGCCAGGTTATCAGGGAGGCAGTCCCAGGCTCCTTGCAATGGTGAATGACAGGACAAGAGAATGGGCATAAAATGAAGCAAGAAAATTTCCGAGTGGTTATAGAGAGGGAAAAAAAAACTTGTTAAGAGGTCAGTCAAGCATTGAAAGATTGCTGAGAGAGGTTGTGCACTTCTCACCCTCAGAGGTTTGGAAAACTGAGCTGGATAAAACCCTGAGCAGCTTGAGAGCAGGGTGAGCAAGGAAGTTGGACTAGCGAGCTCCTGACGTCCCTGCCAGCTTGAATTATCACTGAGTTTATTATTAATTCCCATTTTGTCCCAAGACCATCTTAGTGAACTATCCTTTAGTTCAGCACTTCTCCCCAGGACCTGTGAACTAAAACCTTCATCTTTCCCCCTGACATCTGCCTGTTAATGTCTTGTTATCAAACTTGGTTTGGTTGAAAAATAACGCTCCTTCCCTCTCCTTAAGCACATCTCTGTGGTTTCTAAGCCATCGTGGATTTCGCTGCTGTCCTGCCTTTTCCAGATATCCTCTGCAGTCCTGCAGCTGGCTTTTCTGCTTGCAGAGAGGCTCAGAAAAATCCCAGTCCTCCAAAGCCCTCCTGGCTGTGGCTGCCTGGGTTTGCGGAGAGCTGAAAGCTGTGAGCTTCCTGTTGGTTTCAGAAGGGACTAAAATCGCACAGATTTCCTTGCTAAAATGCCAGCGTTTCGCTGATTTTTCAAAGCACAGAAGACAGGGAGCTGTCGCTTGGGGCTGCTGTTCCAGCAAACGCTGTCGGGCTGCAAAAAGACGCATCCGAGGCCTTCCGTGAGAGGCTTTTCTTTCAGCAGCCTGCCAAATGCAGCCTTAAAATTTGATCCCAATGCTAACGATGGGAAAGATTGCATTGTCTTCAAGCAAATATTTGCTCTACACTGTAAGATTTGAAATACTTTCAAATGCAGCTGCAGGAACGATGTCCAGTTGCACGGCGGCCCTGCTGCGAGGAATTCACCAGTGTAAGTCTCATTATTTACGTTGAATCCCCGAAAAAAATTCTGACGTTTCTTGCACAACAGTTGCTCGAGCCTGACTCACAGCACAGCCTCTTTATAATTAGCACGCTAACTTCCATTAATTAGACTGCCACTTAATTGGAGCTATAAAAAGCAGCCGTGCCGTGTCTGGCTTTAATCAATTACCGCACGCTTCGGTCCCTGCCTGCTGCAGGGACTGCTAATGAGTTGGTGTTAGTGGGAAGGCAAACGCAGATCTGGAGGTAGGGCAGCGAGCTGGCGGGGGCTTTACAGCCTGCGTGGATGTGCTGTTGGCCCCTTCCCTCTGCCTTTTTGGGAGGAGAAGCAGTTAATTCTCTTGCCAGAAGCACCGTGAACGTGAACCTTTATTTCTCTTCCCTGGATGCACTCCAGCATCTTGGTATCTTTCTTCCCAAACTGAACACATATTGAAGTGCAGTCACACAGTGCCAAGCCCAGAGGGGCAATCACTTCCCTGTCATGCTGGCCATACCATTTCTGATGTAAGCCCAGATGTTAGCAGCCTTCTTGGCTACCTGGGCACACAGGCTGGCTCAGTGTTCAGCCAGCTGTTGAGCAGCACCTCCAGCTTCTTTCCTGCTGGGCAGCTCTCCAGCTGCTCTTCCCCAAACCTATACCACCCCATGGGGCTGGTGAGCCCTGGGTGCAGCACCTGGCACTTCCCCTTGCTGAATGCCCTACAAACGGGCGGGGACCACTGACCCAGCCTATCCAGATCCCTCTGCAAAACCTTCCTCCTAAAGCAGATCCACGCTCCTGCCCAGCTGGGTGTCATCTCTTAACCCGCTGAGGGTGCACTTGATCTCCTCAATAAGACCACTGATAAAATATTAACCAAAACTGGCCCCAACACTGCTCTGGGGAACACCACTCGGCCGCCTGTGCCACGATATCCACACTCCTGGTGGCTTTGAAGACTTGTTCTTGGTGAGCAAGGCAAGCAAGAAGCCTGCAGGTGCTCTTATTGCAGCTCAGCTGATCATCAGTTGCTGATAACATCGTGGCAAACGTGATTGCTGGTGAAAAGGTGAGCGTGCCTCGTGCTCAAGCAGCTCCTGCTTTGCTCCAGCCCCATTTGCTCCACAGCTTTCTTTAAAAGAGGCTCACAAACCCAACAAGAGTGTGCACCAAATTTCTTCAAAGCCTTGCCATCCCTGCACTGAAGGAGGATATGGATCTGTGTAGGTGCGTGTTGCGGTCAGTTGGAGCTTGTTGCATTCAATACTGCTTTCAATAGCTGTTTTTAGCAAAGTTACTTACTTTATCTGCTTACTGTAGACCTCAGAAATTTTAAAAAGCTTCACCCGAACTTGCAAATGGGGCCCAAACCATGGCACTTTGTGGTCATGCACCCACCAATGTAATTTGTCTGCAATCCATATTTGCAGAGGCAGTGTCCATCTGAAAAAAAAAAAAGACATTTAATAAAAAAAAAATCCTCTTGTAAGCTGTTATAATGCAGTTCGTGGAGACCATGGGTTTTTTCCACTTGGAAAGGAAAAAAGATTCAGCACGGTTGCTTTCTTTTTTTTTTTCCCTGTCGGTAATGTATTTTTACGGCTCAGGCTTGGAGTCTGATGATGATGAAGTTTTGAAACAGCCCTTTGCACCCTGGTTCATGTAAATGCTTAGAACATTTTGTATCACTTCTTGTGGAAGATCTTTTTCAGCTCGGGCCTGGGAGATGGTGATTTGAATAAATGCTGAGCTGCTTTGGTGGCTTTCATCAGCCCAGCTTGACTTATCATCGCTAATGGGTTGTTTTATTGACTTAAATTAAAACATCCTAATATCAAAACCAGGACAAAACAAGCCTCCGCTGAGAAGAAAGCCCCGCAGAGCCTCATAAAAGGGCGGAGGGCCCGAGCTGATGAGATCTCTGCGCCTGGAGCAGAAGAGGCTGCGTGGCTCTGAGTAACTCTGTTTGCTTTGTGTCTCGCTTTTTCCCCCGCTCTCCCATCTGTAACCTACCAGGATAACGCCTGGCAGTGCTGTGAGACACAACAAACAGAGCACGGGCTGCTCTGCCAGACAATTCGGGAACATGGATCACCTTGCTCTTAATTCAAGCCTGCCTGGACCTTGGTCAAGCAGAGGAGGGCAGCCTGGAGAGGAGCCGTGTCCCCTGTTCTCCTTTTCTTGCTGCTGCACACCCTGGACTCTGCCCTCTGGAAGGCACAACGAGGGAAGCTGCTGCATTGCTTCAGTCTGGCTGGCTGGGGTGGAAGTTTGGCACTTCCCAGTCCCTGTCTGGGAACTTAGACAGCTTTTTTTTTTTTTTTTTTCTTGGTTGTTGTTGGTTTTAATTTATGTATTTATTTTTGGCTGCCTGCAGAAGGAAGTACGGTCCCATCTTGTCGTAGCATGAATTGAAACCTCAGCACTCAGCACCGCTGCCCAAGCCTGAAGCTCGCAGGCTGCTGTAAGAGCCCGTGTCGGGATGAAGCCCTCCACATCTGCCCTTCCTCAGGGGGCAGACAGAACTGGCATAATCTGAGGAATCCTTTAAAACCCATTTTTCTGGAGAAAATTCACGGCAGTGCCCTCCCCCTACCCGTGCTGCCTTTTCAGCAGAAACACGAACAATTTTCATTGTGCAAAATCCAAACCACCCAACGACAGTACTGGGATTGTTCCTTTTACGCTGAGGTTAAAAAAAGGGTGTTTCTGTCCAATGCTGAGCTTTCCTTTTAACATTTTCTGCCCAACTCAAGGCTGCAAAGCGCTGTCCCCCTTCTTTGAACACCTGTACCTCACCAGCATGATAGGAGCCCTGGGCTTCCAGCTCCTCCAAAATCTGGACCCTGGAGGCATCGGATGGGCTTGTTTGAAAGGCTCTCTGCGTGCGGGTGGTTTCGTGTGTCAGGCCAGAAGATGTTTCGGGCTAGAAATTTCAGCATCCCTGAGCAATCCCACGTGTGCTCGGGTCAAGGGCTGCAGCCAGCTGGCAGTGGAGCAAAGTCTGCCACTCGTTTTGGTGGAGCAGGGAGGCCTTCCACCTCCAAAACGAGTCCGCAGACCCTCGTGAGGACGAGGGCGCCCTACAGACAGAGAGCTGAATGCCCTGGGGCGGTTTGGTGCTCAGCCCTGAGTCACAACCTCCTCTTGTCCCCAGCTGTGTCACCAGCATGACCTTGGCCGCACGGGAATCGCCTCTCCTTGATGAATCTCCTCGCTCAGAGTCGCGTCCCCTCGCTTCAGCAGCTCCAATCAGTCTTTACTACCCCGGCAGCAGCGTGGAGCCCTGGCTCAGGAGAGGAGCACGATCCATTCCCAGTCCAGGAGCCAGCAGCACAATTAATTACGTCGGGATTGCAGCATTAAAAAGGGCCGGGAAGGCAGGGACGCTCGGCCCCGTGATCATCGTGTGAGTTTTAATTAAAAGGCTCCTTTTAAGCAGCTTTGGGCACGGATGCTTTGTGCTCCCCTCGTGCTTTCTATCACTGTCTCGATAATGAATTGTCAGCAGGCTGGAAGAAAACGAGCCTACAGCCTGTGTGCTGCAAAGATCTCAGAGCAGAAGGTTGCAATGCAATAAACTTGGGGTGAAAAGGGGGAAATTTCTCCCCCCCACATGTTCTTAGGGCTGGGGGATCTCCCAGCACATCCCTTTCGGCTTCCCGGGGGCTCTGCCAGCCTAGGAACTTTTTGGAGACTCAACCAGAAGCTTCAAGTTATTTTTAAATGCTGGAAGAAGACACGCAGAGGGCTGGGAACGTGAAGGATTCATCAGGAGCAGCAGAAAGCACAGGGAGTCAAATCAAATGATCCATCAAATCAAAGCAGAGGCAGCCCCAATCCTTGTTTCCTGGTGTATTTATACATGCTCAGCATGATGCAGCAGCGTGTCCGACCCCAGATACGTTTCCTACTAGCAGCTGAAGCACAAATAAAGGTCAGATCTGCGCAGAGTGCATTCGCTTCATGTCTTGAGTGGCAGGGGACAGTCAGCAGTACGTGAAAGCCTGGCTGAAAAATAATTGTTCGTGCTTGGGGCTGATAATACGGGCTGTGTGTATCTCAGCTGTGCTTCCCTGTTACTCCCAGGCCTCTGCTCAGCACTGAATTCCTGTTGCCAGATGAGAAAGCATTTATTGTGGTCCTCTGATTGCTTTGCCAGCATGCTGTCTGCCTGATTTCCCTGTGCCAGCATCCCAGGGTCGTGGTGAAGTCCTCACACCCACTTGGATCCATGCGTTCCCAAAAAGCAGCCTGAGAAATGCACGACTCCTCTCCTCCTTGCAGCTTTGGAGGATGCCTGGAGCTGAGAAAAGCCTGAAATGGGAGCCTGGGGGAGTTCTGCACTCGTCTTCCCCAAATACCCAGCACAGAGAGGCTTCGTTCTTGCAGCACAAAATCAATCCATGGCTGTGAAGGATCTGGCCACAGCCAACAGCTCGGAGCAGTAAGTTCTGATCGAGATCTCCACGTCAGGGAGGAGCTGGAGAGCCTCACATCAAACCCAGCAGTCCTGGGTGCCTCCTTCAGCAGGTGCAAACTTTGGGAAGTATTTTTGTGTCTGATCCAACACGAACTTGTGACAAAACCGATGCGTTTAGGTAAAACCTTTTCACTGAAGAACCCCAAATGGAAATATTTTAGCAGACCTGGGCACGGGTAGCACACAGCAGGCCGATTTCTGTGTCCTCCACAGCAAGCCAAAGGTTTTGACCAGTCCTGCCTTGACCAGTTTTGTCCGAGTGACTCACTGTTGCCTGTTTGTTGTTCGTATTGCTATAGCAGTTGAGCCTCTGAAGCTTCAGATCCAAGACCTTGTTGTGCCAGGTGCTGTAGGAAGATGGAAAAGAAAGAAAAAAAAGAAAACACACAAGGCGTTGAGGAAGAAACACGCGTTTCTCCAGAAGAGAAGACAACAGATGGCTCCAGATGGGGGAGCACAAGGAACTGGTGAGGTAATACTGAGCTGGGCAGGGAGCAACGGGCTCGTTATAGCAATTAGCTAAACGTCGCTGAGGTTTTTGGAGAGGCAAAGGGCAGTTTGGAGGAGGAGGATCAAGCCAGGGCAGAAGTTCGTGGCAACATCCCATCAGGTTGAATAGTCCACAGGGAATAGAAGAGGAAAAGGATCCTTCACGGAAGATGTTTGCTGCAAAATGTTGGTACCAGAGGTGCTGAGCAAGACACAAGGAAGACGTCTTCAGTTAGAGTAAAAAGACACAAGAAAGAACTTGATAATAGGAAACACATCGGTTACTTCAGCACCAGGTGCTATCCCATAAGCATTTTATGCATTAGGGGTTCCCTAATTAGGGCATCCCTTTTAGCTGAACCATTTTCAGCTGTGGAAGGAGCCCGGTTCCTTGTCCATTTCTGGAATAACCGTTGGTCTTGCCACTAGAGGGGGACTGCAAGCCGTGCACCATCTTTCCAGCCCGCTGGACTTCACCTGCACCCTCTGGGTGCCAGCAGGACCAGCAGTGGGACACTGCACTGCTGGGCTTTGGGGTGTCGCAGCACCTGCAAATGCCAGACCTTGCAGCCAGATAAATGTGGAGGGATAAGAAATGAGGGGAGCCTGGCTGGTGTGGTGCTGGCATGGGGATCTGGTTCTTGCAGCGTGTTGTTTTTCTTCTTGTGCAGCCACAGAAAGCATCCTGGGTGTAAATGGTGCTCTGTGAAAACTGCAAAGGGTTTGTGCAACCTCAGTTAACTGTGGAAGGATGTGAAAGCTGTGGAGGGATGTGAATAACCCCTCTTCCCACCCCACTGGAGGAATGTAACAGCATCATACACAGCAGTGCCATTAAACAGGTCAAAGACATGATGGAAACATGAAAGCTTTGAGATCCTGGGAGAAAAGTGAGCTCGTGGATGGGATTTTCAGTATAATGTTTGTGAGCTGGGCTTGACCTACCTCGTTCTTGTCTCCTCACAGGGCCTTTACCCACGTGTTCACCTTTGGGCCAACGTTTCGAGCCGAAAACTCGCAGAGTCGCCGGCACCTGGCAGAGTTCTACATGGTGGAGGCTGAGCTGTCCTTCACCGAGAGCCTCCAGGACATCATGCAGGTGGGCACCCCCAAATATTTGTGCAGAACCAGCGTCAGAATTCCCTCCTCCTCCCTTAGCTGTGCTCGCTGCTCTCAAATGATTTTCCAGGATTGACCACTAACCACATGATGGCTGCTAACGCATCTTTCTGCTTTCAGCACAAGCCAGCTTACACCCAGCAGGATTTGGGAGTAAATACCCACCCAGGTAGATTAGAACCCTAATTTCTTGGCTTATGAAATATATCGGGTTCTGGAGCATATCCAGTTCAGAGGATTCAGAGAATTAGATTTGAGGAGTGCTCTGGAACATGCAGGGCCTCCGCTCTATTTGCAGGGAAAGGAGGAAACCCTCTTGGCTTGTTTTTTTGTTGCTGCTAAAGTCTTGTAAAATCTCAGCTTGTGCTTTCATTTTTCTCTTCTTTCTCCTGCCCCAAAGTCTCTGACAAGAATCCTTTCTTGTTACAGAAATCCTCCTAGCAGCAACGGTTTTGCATCCCCCTTAGCAAGTCCACATTGCAAAACGCTTACTTTTGTGATGTTCTCTCTTGCAGAAGTGGAGTTCCTGTTTTGTTTATTTTTAAATCGTTGGGCAATCTCTTTTGGAAAAATAACAAAAGAATAAAAATACACACAAAAAAAACCTGACAGCTGCTCTAAAGCCTAAGTTAAGTTTCTTTTTCCCCACATAACTGACGTAAAGGCAGTGTTCTCTCCCCTATCTGCCCACTGGGCAGCTTGTCATGTTCTTTGTTTGATGCCAAACACCCAGCTGAAAGCCTCGGGGGCTATTGGTTACAGTTAGCATCTGAACTTTGTCCTCAGATAAAGAGCTGGATTGTTGCAAAATTATTTTTTAAATCGGTGTTTGAGACGTGGAATGAATACCTCCAACGCAAGTGAGCGTGCTGGGAGTGCTCAGCTTCTTCAGGGACATCTTGCAAGTATTTGCTTTTGCACCGTGAAAGGGTACAGAAGAGCCTTGCTACAAAGATATGCGTGTTTACTGTTCTCTAGTGAGATGTTTCTTTAGCCAAAGCTCCAAAAGAAAAGCAGCTTTCTTTACAAAATAAAAGGAAGAGCAAGATTCAAGAGCAAAGGTCTGTTTTTCCCTGGTGTAACTGCACGGAGTAATGCTCGGTTATTCCTAAATTAGCAGCCCAGTTCTTAGGAAGTCTTGTGTGTCTCGATCACGCAGCGTAAGTTTCTGCTTTGTGCCAAACCGTGTCTTAGTGCTCCCAAGAAGCCGAGACTCTTGCAAGGCAGGCAGGTTTCACAATCCTTGCTGCGGAAAGTCCCACGGCGCTCCGTGCGTTCGGTGCCGCACTCAGGCCTGATGCTGTTACTGCTTCAGCCTACAGGGAGTGTGCGAGTGGTTCTCAGGCCTTTGTGGCCTCTTTCCAAAGGAGTCAAGGCTGGAAGTTCCACCAAGATGAGGAAGAAAGAGTTAGGAGAAGGTCAGGTTAGAAGTCATCTGTCTTATATGGAAGTGTCTGGTCTCAGCAGAGTGCTGGAAGTCCAAGATTTCCATTCCTACCTGTCCTGTGAGATGCCTGCTCCCACCCTTTCCCCCTCTCTCCAGTGCTGTGTTAAGCAGTCATGTCTGTAGGTCATCATCTTCTATTTTTCTTTTTGGCTGTCCTGACAGTGAAGAGGATTTTAAAGGGTCCCACTTCACTCATGACACTAATGGGGCCTCAGAGAGGTAACGTGGTGCCATCACTACTGAATTTCATTAAACATGCATACAAAACCATGTTAAAAGAACATTATTTAGGCTGCAAAGTTGTAAAATGCCCTAAATAAGTTTTTGTTGGTTTTTTTGTTTGTTTTTTCTGAGAGCAGCTGTTGCATAGTGTCAGTCTTCCTTAATAAAGTCAAATCTTGGCAACACGAACTGCATAAAACGTAGAACAAAATGTAACCCACAGCAATTGAGCTCTAGTCTGAGCTAGTCTCTAACACTTCTCCTTTACAATCTTCTTTGGAGAACTAATAAGACTATCAGTGTACCGTAGGAGACAGGAAGGTGTGAAGAGGAATATCCCTTGCAAGGATATTTGTTCTGCGGTCCTGGTGAATGCTTCCTTTGCTGTAGAAGTGTTGTGCTCTGCTCTTGTGCAGCCACTCACTCGCTGTCCCCTGGTGGCCTGGGAGAGAGAATGGGAAAGATAAAAGTGGGTTGAGACAAAGACAGCTTGGTAGGTAAAGCAAAAGCCACACAGGCAAGCAAACCAAAGCCAGGAATTTATTGACTACTTCCCAGCAGCAGGCAGGTGTGAGCCAGAATCTGGTGTGAGCCTGCCCTCTGTTTTTTCTGAAAGTATGCCTGGGTGATGTTTATATGGACAGGTGACAATTGGAACTCCTCTCGTTGCGCACAGCAACTTCGGTTGCTGCTGCTGACTTCTGCCACTGGTTTGGTGATGATTTCCTGTTTCACCCCTGGTCACAACGTGATTTGGGAAGAGAATAAGTCGCAGTATCAAAAGCTCTGAGTCAAAATTAAGCAACTCAAAATCAGTGAGGTAATCATTAAGTTTCACAGCAACATCAGGGAAGGCCAGAACTGATGCTGTAAGAACTTCTTTGGAAGGGTGAGAATCACCAGATAAAAGTAGGGAGATGTAGGGGAGAAGGGAAGATGTTGACCTCTGTCCTCCTCACCTGCCTTTCCAGCAGCACAATTCCTGTATTTTCATTACGAAGCAAGCAAACTTTTGGACACCAAGAGTCCCACCTCCAAGACAAGCTACCAGCTGTGGTTCTGGTGGTGTTTTAAAGTCCCCTACCAAACGTGCTTCTTCCAGAATTCACTCACGCCCAGCCACTTGGGCCATCTCTGCAGCTCACGTGCTCAGCAAGCCAGCACCTGAGGTTCTCCACTCACTTCTCATCCAGCCTGCTTTCCAGTGCTTCATTACATTAATCTGCTTAAAGCCAGAACTCCTGAGCTGGAGAGCTTTTTTCTCCCTTTATTTTTTGCCCTGCTGTTCGTGCCTGGTACACATTTGGCATAAATACGAGTTAAGAGCAGTGAGGAGGCCGACGCATGACCCACGTGTCTGTCTTTTCTTTTTTTTCTTTTTTTTTTTTTGACAGGATTAAACCTCAGTCTCAAACCTGGAAATGTTTCTCAGATTGTTTTTCCCATACCACCCACATCTTTTTTCCACAAGAGGAAGCTGCTTGTGTTGAAGGCTGTGGGAACCTAATTGTTACTTTATCGCACAGCGAGGGAAAAAAAAAAAATAGTGCTAATTAAACAACATGCTTTTCTAAAACCAGATGATACTTTCATTTTCTAGAAAGAGGAAGCTTAATGTAAAACCTCTCCGTCTCTGCCTCGGCGAAACCAGATGAATTGCCAGGTTTTCTAATTTCATTTGCATAAGCCTTTTTCTAGCTACTTTGAAGAAGGTTCAAAGCTGCTTGTTTGCCACTCAGCAGCAGGAATGCTAGCTTTTCATTTCCTCTGTGCTTGAGTAGGGCGAAAACTGTTCATCTGCAGGGCCTCATTTGGATCTTGCCTTTCTAAACAGAGGGCCCAGATCGATGCACGACTCTGAAGGCTGAGTTTGGTTCCGAAGGGATGAAGGCAGGGGCCTGACTTACCAGCTGGTGGGATGCAGAGACTGTTCATCAGCACAGAGCAGCAGTTCAGGACAGGTGATGAAGAAAGAACGGTCTTCCAAACGTGAGAGTTTGAACAAAATGCTTGAAATCTCAGCATAGTTACGTCAGGAGCCCAGCTTCTTCTTTCCTCTGTGTTTTGTTCCTCTTGCTCTGTAAGGTCTGGTTCCTTACTTGCTTCTTCCTCAGATCTGCAGACCAGAAGTCAGGTTCATCTTCGTGCAGTTAGTCTCCCCTGGGCAGTATCCAGGGACCTCTGTTCACCTAGAGATCACCGGTGGGTACTTTGCTTTTCTCAGCTCTTCGGTTAACGAACCAAGTTGTTAATCTCACAGAAAATGCACCAGGACTTTCAGAGGTGCTTTTTGTTCCGAAAAACCTGGTCTCATCGAGGTTAAGGTGAAACGCAGTCCAGCTGCTTTGCTCTGCTGCTTACAAAAGAGATGAGAATAAGGAGAGTGATTTTGCAGAAGAGTTGGGAGCATCAATACTCCACAGGTACCAACTCCCTGCTTTGTGCAGGTGTGTGGGACTACGAGGAGATACAGGAACTCTTACCCGCCAGCATGCCAGCAAGTGTTTGGGGTAGCCTGCTTTGCTTAAACAAACACAAAAACGACTCTTCCAACAGGCTGATCAAATTGCACTGGAGTACAATGTGAGGCTTTTTTTGGTTTTGTTTGTTTTGATTTCTGTTTGTTTTTGTTTGTAATCCAAAAGGCATTTGCTTGGTTTAATTCTTCATAGGTGAAGCCCATTTTAACAGCTAAGTGCATCCAAACTGGATGCATGTGTCATTCAGCTGATCCACGTTAGTTTAGGAAAATTAAAGCGGGTCCTTTTTTAGCTTCTCGAACATCCCCGCATTGATGGGTCAGTTTTAGCTCTCTGCTCATCTCTGTGCATGTTCTCTTTGCTTTGCTCTTACTGTGCAGAGTCTCTCTAGACAGAATGTGTTGGACAGGCTGGCTCTACTCAGCACACGTTTATTCCCCTCTCCTCATGATTCATCAGAGCCCAGTCACCACAAATGGTTGTAATGAGTTCATTTGTGGCTGCTGCTCGAACGTTTCAGGTGTGCTTTTTGCACTGGAGATACTCGACTGAAGATACCGAGGCCATCAGCAGACACTGAGACCCTAAACCCGTAGCAGAAAAGCAGGTTCTCATCCTCTTCAGCTGGTGAGCAAGCCTGCTAATTAGCAGCATTAGCAAGCTGGTGCTCTTTTTATGCAGTCTGACCATGCAAAAGCTCCTTTTGTACCCTTTGGCTGATGTGAACCGCGTTTTATTTATAGTCTGGGACATCTAAGCAGTGTTAATTTTTCGTGCCCTTCTGTTTTCTCTATTAGGTTATGGAAGATCTTTTCAAGACGGCAACAAGCACCGTGTTCTCCAGATGTCCTCGTGACGTGGAGCTTTTTCATAAATACGTAGCTCCTGCCCAGAAGGTAATAAATGGGACAGGAAAGAGCTGCGACCCTTCTATGCATTTTGGGAGCTCTTGGAAACAGGGGAGCTTAATTTATTTTTTGTTAATATGTTCTCCTGTGTTAATGAACTGTGAAGAGCCAGGAGTTGGCCTGAGCTGAAGTTATTTTTCAGGCCAGTGTAGAGAGGGTACACAACTTGCTATAACATCTGTGGCAAAGCCGCAGTTGTGTCATCACCTACTGGCCTCCGAATCCTCAGCTCCAAAATTAGCTTCCCTTTTAGCACTGCATGGCTTGGAGTGGATTTTGACCCTTATCTAGAGCACAACGCAGACCCACAAATCAAAACATAGAGGGGGGTGACTTCTCTCTGCTTCTGCTGTGCCCCTGAACCCTTAGGAGTTGCTTTACGCTTTTGTTTTTCTTGTTTTGACCAAGGGCAGGTTGGAACAAATGCTGAAGAACAAATTCGTCACGTAAGTACTTCAATTTCAAAATGATCTGGAAGAGGGCTTTTGGGGAAGGGGGTTCCTCTTTTCTCTATCTTTTCTGCCCCAACTTGGAGCCTGCTGGGTTAGCATAAGGTCTCCTCAAGAGCACAAACTGAAATTCCTTCTGTTCTGTTTGCCAGTCCTCCTGTCACCTCTGCATGAGACCAGCGTCTGGGTCTGCCGTCCTTTTGCTTTTGCTTGCCTGGACGAGATCCTCTTTCTGCTAGGGTGTCCTCCTTTCACATGCACCTGACGAGTGGTTTGCTCACAGTGGCTTGCTCCTTAATTTCAGCTTTGATGCTCTGCCCTCCTTCACATTTTCTCTCCAACATATCCTCTTTTCTGCAAATATTTTTGATGTTTAAAAAGGCCAGCTGATTTTTTATTCCCAATCACTTGTGCAACTCCTCTTTTCGTTTTGCTCTGTGCTAAAGAACTGAAGAATTTTGATTTCCTTCCATGCCCCCCTAAAATACCTCCTCCAGAGGTATTCCTGATGTATTTCCTCCAGAAGCCTTCCATGGACGTAAAGAGCTCGTGCCCTTCAGGGAATTTGTTTTATAATTGCATTTGGCTAACGATACAGAGAGATGAAATTACCACGAGCAAGTTGCTCTTTCTGTCCGCAGCATTTGCTTGCTATGTGGAAAACTTGTCAGCAAAAGCACCTTCCATCGACTCTTGATTTCCAGTTACCAAACCTGCAGCATCTCTGACTGCACTTTTTCTGTTTGCTTTGTCATGGTGCTGTTCTCCTGTACTGGTGGAAATCAGTGGAGAAACTGCTTTCAAAGCTGTCAGAGGAGCAGAGAAACATTGCTGCAAATAAACCTCATGGTATTTGCAAAATAAAACAGAAAGGTTGGAGGTACGAGTTCTTCGCGCTCTGCGCTGTTATTTTTGCCTCCTAACACCGTGCTGAACAATGGAGTTGTGTTGTTGGAACTGTGCCAGTGAGGACAGGTTTCTTTAATAAACAAAAAAAAATCAAAGTTGTATTAAGAGGTTCTGTGCAAAACTCCCTTCCGATTGAAATGCAGCGTTGCAATAACGCAGAAGTGGCTTGAGAGCTTAGCACTTCCTGCATGTAGCTGAAGCACAGGAAGGCACGGGGTGCTTGCCATATAAAATGTAAGCTTTTGGTTTCCATCCAAAGCATTATTGGGAAGTCTGACATCACGGCACAAGTTGGCATGGCTGGGGGGAAATGCCTCCTTCATTTTCCAGTGCAACGCTTGGCCAGAAAGCTTTCTTGTTATTCCTTTCACAGTTATCTCAAAGATTCTTTTTTTTTTTTTTTTTTTTTGTCTTGTAGAATTTCCTACAACGAAGCGGTGGAAATTTTGAAGCAAGCTTCTCAAACTTTTGCTTTTAAGCCAGAGGTAGGTGGTTGCCTGGCGGCTTCTCCCTGTGCCTGTTTTTGCACACAGCCTGAAAAACTTTACGGGTCTCAGGGAAGCCTCCTTTCTCTCTTTCTGTATCTGAGTAGTGCTGAGTGTGTTGTGGTGTCTGCTGTCATCATTCTTCAGTCATCTTCAAATGAGGGAATGATGTTTAGGTAGCACCAAAAGTTTGACAAGTTTTAATAAGCCAAAACCATGTCAAAATATCATAAAACCTACATGGAGGTAAAGGGATCCCTTTGCTTTTCCAAAGGATAATTGTTACCCGGGAAAGAGAATCACCTGATTCCCTTTTCTCATCAAAAGCCCCAGAATTTGTAACATCACTAGAAGAAAGCAGGAGAAGCAAAGGGCATTGCAGATGGCCAGGTTTTCCAGTAGGAAAGAACTGGTTGGTAGGGTGCTGGGTTTTCCTAAGTGAGGATTAAAGTAGCTTGTAACAGGACACAGCAAGGAGAGAGTGGTCATCCTGGCAGAGCGGATTTCTGGATGCCAAAATAAGGCTGGTGTGCTGGGCTAAGTAAAGCAGTTTGGGATAGCTGCCTGTTTCCCTGGAGCGATATGGAGAGAAGGTTTTGTTTGTTGGGGTTTTTGGGGGGTTAGTTTATTTTTTTTTATTTTTTTTTTCTGATTTGATATCAGATGCAGGGAAATCTGGCCCTGTTCTGGGAAATCTACCTCTGTCATTTTTCATTGCTTTGCTCTGCCTTAAAACCTGTGGAATTCTGTTGTCTTAGCAGATTTTCCCCTTGCCCCGTGGGTGCTCGGAGTTACTGCTCGTGGTTTTGTGTGGGTCAAAGCCGTGCCTCTCCTCTGCAGGGATTTTGCCGTGTCTCTTACCACAGGCAAAGCGTGACGCCAGGTCCCTTTTCTTGCTTTCACAGTGGGGCTGTGACCTCCAAACGGAACACGAGAAGTACCTGGTGCAGCACTGCGGGGAGGTTCCCGTGTTTGTCATTAACTACCCCTACGACCTCAAACCTTTCTACATGCGGGACAACGAAGACGGACCGCAACGAACAGTGAGTCCACGGGTCACGCTTCCTCCTCCTTTTCAGCTGAGCGTGTGCCTTTGCCTCTGATAAATGAGGATAGCCTTCTGCTGGGCCTCCACTCAACAAGTCCAAGATGAGATATGATCCTGTCCGATCTTTTTTCTATTGTAGAAGAAATCCACAAAGCAGGAGTACCAGGAGGAAAATTCAGGAGTTGGGTAGCATTAGGTTTTTAGAGCTGCATAAACTCTAAGGAAATCAGGTCCTTTGCGTGTTTGCCTCCTCGTGAGCTCCCATTTGTTTTTTTGCACCACGTACAGATTTTCCTATGTGCACTCCTGTCTCCAGAGTGACCTGATGGCATTCAGTACACACCACGTGGTGCAAACACCCTCAGCCTGGAACGTGACTGCCCTCGTTTAGGTTTTCTGTAGGCCTGACAGCTTCTGCCATTGTAGGCTTCCCTCCCAGCCTTCTCCTGCCCAAAAGAGACTTTTTGAGCACGTGAAAACACTCACCTCAGGGTCCTGGACTCAACAGAATAATTAAAGTAGCTTTTTTACAAACAACCATCTGGTGTCTGCTGTGCTTCTGCTGTGGACTGAAGGGCATAACTGACGTTATTTTTGTTTCTTTTAAGGTTGCAGCTGTTGACCTCCTCGTACCAGGAATCGGGGAGTTGTGTGGAGGCAGCTTGAGAGAGGAGCGCCTGCCCTTCCTCCAGTCCCGCCTGCAGAGGTACGTGGGTCCTGGAGGTGCCAGGAGGCCCTGCTCTGAAGCACTTTGTCCTCGAACCTTTCCTCCACAGTTTTGGTGGCTGCGAGCTGACTGTGAAGGTGGAAGTTGTCACCCAGAGCTCGGATATTTTTGTTACTGCGTTGTGCAACTGAGGAACTGCAGCTCTGGTCAGAAGCTGTGCTAGCCATGATGCAGCTGGCCTCGGTGGCATCATTTCAGAGAACAGTTTTCTTAGCTAACAGCTTGGTGAGAAGCTTCCCTGGAAGTGGCTGGGAGCTGTTCTGAGTCACGCAGACTCTTTGACAGTCTCTTTCCTTGCTGTTTTGTTCTGGCTCTTGTGACGTGGAGTGATTTTAGGCTAAATTCAGTGTCAGGATATCAGAGCTGCTGTTTAATTAACAATAACTGAGGTTACAGATGGGGTAAATCTCCATGGAAAATCACTCCCTAGATCCCATCTGAGTTTTCCAGAGAACCTTTCATAACTCACAGGAGTACATTTGTGCCAGTCGTACACTTGCACAAAGCAATTTTAGAGGGGGATTAATCCCAGAGCAACATCATTTGCATGTTGGGACAGAATTTATCACTCAAATCAGCTGCGTGCCCACAGAGATGGATCGAGTCAGCGGAGAAAAGCAAAACCCATTTCAGCATAATGAAAACAACAGACAGGGCGATTAAATCACTGGCATGGTGGTTCTCGGTTTGCAGTGTAGGGTGATATATTCCCTGCAAGGCCTCCCTTTGCTTATTGTTCCTCTCCTTGTGAACTCTCCAGAAGGAGGCACGCTTCGTCTGAAGCGATGAGCAGCGTTGCCTGCTGCACTTGATATTTTTGACAGTGAGATCCCGAGTCCCCAGCCCTCCAGGTGTGCAGCTGGACAAGGGATCCTGGTAAAGGTTAAAGCCAGACTTTTTTGTTTGGCAGGGAACGCACAGGAAGCATTTCAAGCTACAAATGATGTATCTACAGTGGCCTTAAAGTACAGCTCTGCACTGAAGATGGAAACACGTGGCAAAATAATCATACTTATTACATGTTTTTTCTCAGTTTTGAGTGCTCAGGACC